CCATGAAGAACCTCATTTTTGTATACTTAGTAAGTGTTATCAATAGTAGAAATTCACAGGTGAACAGACAAAAATGTCCTGTCCTGGGATTAACTTGAAAATAGGCTCTGCTTCCCATATGTACCATATGGATCTGTTTTCCTTCTCATCCTTTAAAGGAATGAGAGGAACTAGTTCATTGTTTCCTCATCCAACTCACAGATTTGCAGGTTCCACTGAGTAATTTTTTGTGTGTTATATTTAATGCACTAGGGAAATTTTTAAAGCCTTCCGTTCAATCTATGGAGAGAAGCTCATGTTAGTTCACTACAAAAACTTTCTGAAACCATAGTTTTATTAGAAAATATGACTACATTGCTGAACTTCTCTAGCTGTGGAATTTTTCAGAATCATGTCTGTGGCTCATGTGTGGATTAGCTGTGAAAGAAAAAAAAAAAGAAAAAAGACCACAAAACATAAATCATAAAAATTGTACCAAAAATTGTACCCTCATTTTTTATTTTTCCTCAAAGAGAAATGTCTACGAATCAGACTGTGAGAAGACACCTATGAGTCTTATAATTACACTGCAATATTCTGTTGAACACTTGAGTTTGTAAGCCAATATGCAGCACAGTATATACAACGACTTTTGCACTAAGTTGCAGTAGTACATTTGAATGGATTATTCCATACTGTGAATGGGAGCAGGAAAATTCTGCAAAAGCTGAGGTTGTAATTACACAAGAAAACTCAATGTTTCAGAAAGAATTATGTTATTCATAAAAAGTGACTGCAGTTAAAAATTTATGTAAGATTTAAAATGCAGTCATTTCATTCACTTAGGACTGAAGTGCAGGTCATTCTTTAGAAAGACCATTTTTTTGTCTGTATTTCATAATGCAGAGTGATGTTATATGATGTTTTAGTGAACTTTTTACAAGTTATTAAAGATTTACATACAATTACAGGTACAGATTTACATACAATTAGAACAGAAATACCTAAGTTTTAATTTGATCACAGCAATGATTGACAACAACAAAGAAGTTGTTTTACATCTAGAGCAATTGCTCCATGAACAACCTAGTGTACTTTTAATATTATATCAAGTGTGTAGAATGAGCCATTAAATAATGTTCTGATTCTAGTAGGTCTTTAAGTTTTTTTTTTTCCTTTAGTCCTTAATTTTTAAGGACATAAGAGTTTAGGAGAAGCAGTTTTCATCATGAACACATTTGACTAATATTGTGTTCTCCATGGAGATACTTTTCAAAGTAACTCGGTTACTTTTACAAAGGAACTCGGTTAAAATGGAATTATAACCAAGATTAATTATAGTTATACACCAAATTAAATATAAAAGAAGATAAATTTACAAGAAATACAATAAAATCATCTTGATTACTTTTACCTACAGTACTGAAATGTCTTTTTTTCTACTGAGGAGGACTTGGAGGACAAGAAGATGGTGAAATATGTAGGATTGTTCATATTACTAGTCACTTGGAAAATATGTGTAATGACATCATAACAGTGTCTATAAATAATTCCTTGTGGCTAATCACTATTGAATTTAAAGGAATTACCTTGGAATTAAATTCTATTCAACAGCTAACAAGCAGCTACTTGTAAGCACGAAATAGGTGAAAAGCCTTTTTATCAACTCCACTAATCTAGACCTATCAAGCTCAATCTTCAGAACACATTCTGCTACACATCAATCTAAGTATTTTCAATTACGTGAAGTATTGATTTTACATTTGAAATTTCCTGTCTCTTCATGAACTTGATTTTCTTTGAATGGCAAGGGTACTTTTCAGGATTTGAAGTTTTTAATTCTCTTCTAAGGATAAATAAAAACAAGTATATGAATGTATTAAAATGATTTATTGATGTATTCAGTACTTTGCATCATTGTTTTGCATAAAGAATTCGCAGGAGAGAAAACCTGATTTCTGATTTCATGATGTTTAAGAGAAGATGCTCTGCTTTATTAAATAGTAATGCCATGTTTATTCTTTATTTTTATAACATGCATGATTGAGATCAACTTTGAAAACTTCCAGTTAAAAAGTAACAACAGTACTCAATATCTTCACTCATTTTTAGTCTCAAGTCATTGTAAACATTAAAACCTTTTAGAATTACAGAGACAGAAGAGTGAGTGGAATTGCATTTGGCTACACTAATCATCAGATTATCATTTGAAGTACTGATAAATTGTTCAGTGTACATTTTTAGAAATGTATTTGCCATTTTCTACAGCTTGAAATCTGTTGCTACTGGAAAATAATGTTGTCTGGCAAATAGTTTTCAAAGATATTCATGTAAACACCTTAATATTTACACAACAGGGAAAAGTAAAGGATCTTTATGTAACAATTTTGCTTTCTTTACATCTCTGACAGAACTTTAAGCCACTGTGAGGTTAATAATAAAATGTATCTTTACTATGATTAGATCCTAACTTCGTCCTTATAACTTCATACCTGAACCTAAATTTGAGTTTTCTGTAAAATATTTTAGCATTTACCAGTAAGAGATAAAATAATTGATATATAGTAAATACTTAAAGAGTTCTGACTGCATTTCTACTTTAGCCATTTGAAATTTTTAGATGTTTGAGAAATAGTTGGTGGAGGAAGAACTAAGAATTTATGCCCTGAAAATGTGTCTATTTGTGAGTAGTTATGCTAGAAAGGGAAAACGTGAAGGATGTGAATGCTTCTAGGTCATGACATACAGAATTGGGAGCACTGAACTGGATAAATTTAATATGATTGAAAACATTAATACTAAATACAGTGTTGGTAGGATGTAGAAAATCTCCTCTCTTGTGGTAGATCAAGACCAATGCAGTACATTTTTCAGTATCTGCAGGATTAAAACAGCTAACTTAATTTGGTTATATGAATACTCCATCCCTAATATGCTATTCATACTGATTATGTCTGCATATGAGTCACATTCAGTTTGAATTTACCAGATTTCCATGAATGTTTGCTTAAGTAATGACATCATTCCATGAAGTGAACAGGGCCTTCTAAATACAAAGGGACGACTGTTTAGAAAAACAAGGTTTAAATAAACCTGCTCGTTTAATTATATATTATGCAAGGAGCAGCACAGTAATGTTGCGGCAGTCTTCAAAAAATCTGGCTGTTCCAAACACTTCATTAAATAATCTATTACATAATGAAGCTTCACTGGATTTCTTTCTGTTTCCCAGTTAACTTATCCATTAATGGCAATGCTCTCTTTTTGAACAGCCATTTCAATGCACTATTTTCAAAATCAGTATCATTTCACTATTGTTTTGTCTTGTGTCATGCAAAAATCCTCAGTCTTTTCTGACCGTTTAGTCAGCTACTTCAGCATGGAAAAATTTTAAAATGTACCTTTCAAGGTGAAGCTTAACTGACGAGTTCTGAACTTTTATGTTATTGAACTTACATAAACTTTTAACAATCAAGTGGCTTTATTTACAAAGGGAGACTTCCAACTAACTACTTGAGCCTCAACAAAGGTTCCTCAAATTTGTTATTAATTCATGAAGTGTAAAGTCTATCTCAAGCCTGAATAAATTCATATTGCAGCCAATAGCTGCACACATTGACCATTTACTTAGTTCTGAGTGAAATAAACTTACAGTGTATAATTGGAGTTCACTGTCTTGATACAATTAACAGCACAATATCAGAACACACATTTGGTAAGCTACTTTAAAGAAGTAGCTATTTCTGAAGAATCTGCAAGGAAAAGTTGCAAAAAAAAAAAAAATAATAAAAAAGAGCTTAGCCAAAGCTCTTTATCAAAGCTCAATAAAGGACTCTCTTAGTAAGAGAGTCAAGACGATGCAATATGCCATAAAAGGAAAACCACTGAAAATCAGTTTCACGTTCCAATTTCATCCAACATATCTACCAAAAGCAATAGGATTTGATGACATAATAATATTTAGAGAAATTGGATTCTCGAGAACTTTCAAAAGACGTAACATATGATTTTATATGAATTGGACTGTATCTATCCATTCCCCAGAGGGAATGGTCAAGTCAGAAGCAGAAAAACATCTGCAAGTTTCTTCATACAAAGTGTTCTTTATATTTTGGAGTAGAGAATCAAGATACCTTTCATATCAGGAGAAATCCATCATCACAGCAACAGTGTGCCCATTTTGTTCTTTGTTCTCGACTGTCTTTTATACAGATACGGGTTCTTTAGAGCTTGGTTTAGCGTTTCCAAGTCTTTCAATTTCTTGTCAGTAGCAGCTGTTATTTAAATAAGAGGGCTGCTCTGAAAGTTATACCTCCTATTTTATTATGTTGGCCCACAATGTCAGAGGCAGATGTTGGTGGTATGGCAGTAGAGGTCGAACCTCCCCAGCTAGTATTCCCTTCCATTTTGTTGCTGTGTGACAGATGGCAGTAAAGTGGGGTCTGACAAAATGGCATATGAAGCAAAAGTGTTTCAGAGAATTCCTCTATGCAGAAAAAAATGGAGCTCACTAACATTCGCTGATGCTTGTTGAACATTTCTGGAGACCAAACAGTGAATGTAAGCACAGTGAGACAGTAGGTAGTACATTTCAGTAGTGACAACAGTGACAGTGGGGCACATCTGCTGGTGCAGACTTTTATGAGCACAACATGCAGGCTCTTGTTCATCATAGGCAAAAATGCATAGCTAATGTTGGTCAGTATGTTGAAAAATAGTGTTTTGTAGCTGAGACTTTGCTCTATCAAATAGTGTTATATGTTCTTCCTGTCTGTTGTAGTTTCCATGGAAATAAATAGAAGGCATTGCTTTTGAAGTGACCTACATACATTTTATTTTGGAAAGAAATAATTGTATAAAAGCTGATACTAAACTGTGTGTATTAAAAATTCTTTTTGTGGGTGGTAGCTGAATTTGGAGTTGGAATTTTTGTTGGTGAGTATGTATGAATTTTTGCTAATTAAATCCTAACATTTATTTCTATGTTCTCTTATTCTTTCTTTCTTTCCTTATTTCAACAGCTTGATCAAGTTATTCGTCAGAGAAATCTGTCTAGTTTGGAACTTTTCCTCTCATGTGCACAGAAACAATTAAGCAGTTTATTAAATGAAGACCCAACCGCAACACAGGAAAAGAGAGACTGACATTCTCTATACCACTGATACAGTATGATTTGTGAACTTGCAAATCTCAGTTTAAAAAATGGCAAATGTCTTCATTTGGGAGTGTATCATTGGTTCAAGATTTCTCTGAAACTATACTTGAGAGAAGTATCTGTGTATTCAGTTTCTTCTTTTAACGTGAAAAATAGTTTTAATTTACGATTTAATTTTATTGTCTTTTCTAGTAGCCTGTGATTGAAGCTCTAGGCAACTACAGCAATGATGAAAAAATTCCCTTTCATTTCTGGTTTAAAGGTGTTATCATATCTTGATGTAATTTTTTAGTATTTCTAATTTTAAAAGAAACTGAAAAAAAATTAAATATACACACAAGTCTATCTTTATTTCTCAAGTATATGCCCAAGTGCATTGACTGAAAGGAGTGTGAGAAGCTTATTAGCTCTTATCACTTTGGATGCATAAGGGAAGAATCCGTGTTGAAAGATAAGAGCTTTGACAGTCATTTCTTCAGACATTTGTAAACAACTCCAGCTCTACTGACAGAAAAAAATTAAAAACCATGCAGTGCATCATGTTAGAATAGTTCCAAACATTACTGTAACCAATGTCTGGTATGTATAAATAGAATACATTCTGTTTTACAAAGCTCAGAGACCTCAGTTTCAGGAATAAGATATACGTAATTATGTGAATATGCATACTGCACTGCTGCAGTGGAATTTCTGACAGAATAAGGAGAGCGTCATGCTGACCTCAGATGTCATTTTTAAACCCATTGAAGGAAGTAGTAATAATGCCAGCTGACAATGGGCTTTGGATCAAGTCTGTGAATGGGAAACTCCGTGCCTACACTCTATTGATTGTAGACCCGAAATCTTAAGTTTTAAAGTTCTGAATGAAATGATGCCTAGAAATATAAATAAACTGAGAATGATACCTCTGATGATGAGCTTGTCATCCAGTGGGGACCCATGGGCAATTCTTGTTATTTTCTGGTGGTTGTGATTTTTTATTCCACTTTTTTTTTTTGTTTTTCCACTGGCAGTCACTTTTCATAAATTGCTTCCTTATAGCTGTAAATTCCAAATAGTTTCCTATGTGTTTGTTAATATGAAATGTGTATTGCAGACAGTTTGTTTTTGTTTAAATCTTTTTCCGTGCTTACTTTTTGTAATCAGACAAAAGTTTTTGCCTTCTGTATGGCTGTGGGGTTTCACTGAATAAGTAAATGATGCAGATTTTATTAGCTAATGATCTCTCCCTCCAAATGTATGAAAATCCAGATCTTTTTGATTGACTGACCAGTTTCCTTTTCATCTGGTAAGCCAAAAGATATTTGAGTGTTGATGAGTCCAAACCATCTTGTTTACCTAGGTGGAATAAAGTATGGTAGAATTTGCTTGCACTTTGTTCTTACCATTTGTCTTCATCAGTTTTGCTACAGAAGAGTTTTATTGTGTTTCAGCAAGATGTGGTCATGGAGAAGTGGGAGAAGCTTATGATTATTGTCAGTAAGATGTTACTGATAACTATCTTCCCTAGTGGAACAAGTGGAACATCATGTGTTAGTCTCCACTCCTGAATATTGTGATTATCACATAGAACAGCAGGGATTTTTTTTTTCCTTACCTTTGGCACTTCTAGTGCTTTAGGTGTTCTCTCTACCCTGTGAGAAAAAATGAAGAATTAGATGACAGACATACAAAATCAGACTGGGAGCACTGACTGCTTTCAAAACTGCAAGTCTCAGAGAAGAAATTCAGATATGCAGCAGGAAAAAAAAAGAGCGAAGTAGTATACAAACTTTTCATTATGTGTTAAACTCCATCTCCTCCTTGTCATGCACAAGAGATTATTTTTAGTTTTCATTATTTCTGCCTAATCATAGCGTCACTGAGTTATCTCTAGATCTGTCTGTGTCCATGACAGGCCCACAAGCCCACTGGCCCAGAAAAAGGGAGAGTGTTGATGGCTTACAGGCCAGTTTGTCCCAGTACTGTGACTAATGGGGCAGGGCACATACGGATCCATGCCCTGGGAAATGGAAAAGGAAAGGGGGAAGGGTAGGGAGATGGGCCTAAAAACAGAACAGTGGCAGTGATCTGAGGAGGAAAGTTAATTTACTACATATTATATCAGAATGCAAGATAACACACTATAATGCAATATATAATTGGAATTGAGGCTAATACATCAAATGAGAGAGAGAGTGTCCGATACCGATGGCTGGGGAGCATACCCATACACTGCCAGGCAGCAAGAGAGAGTGAGTCCTGTGACTTGCCAGCTTTGTCTTCCCTTCTGAACACAGTGTCCTCTGTAGTGTGTAGTTCTCTTCTGAGAGCCAGGTATATTCAGAAAATTGTCGGTCCATGGAAGTGGGGCATTGACTCTTTAACTCTCAGTGCTTTACATGATGCTGTGATGTGGAATACCAATAACGAAAATCATAAAACCATGACATCATAGGAAAATAATTTGTGGAAACTTTGGTAGAGGAATGTCAGGGGAAAGTTTGCAAAACCATTCTAATTCATGGCAGGTGATATCACAGGTATTTTTTTTTTAATCACATTATATAAATAAATTTATGATATCCTGAAAAATAGCATTTTAGATAAGTTGAAAGCCTAAAGGTTCAAACTTTATCTGCCTCCAAGGCATGACTGCTAGTGCAATTAAGTTTCTATAATAAATAATCCATATTCTTTGTATCCTAGATAACATAAATAATTTTGACAAGAATTATGTGCAGTGGGAGAAGCAAGAAGCCCTAGAACTCATGCATAGGTTCAACAAAATCTAAAATGCTCAAGCTCTTCAGTCTGCAGTCGTATAATATGCATACTATATGCATGTATATGATTATTGGCTTTATATTAGAAATTAGCTATAAACCTGATTATATTAGAATGTGTCTAAAAGCTAAGTAAAACAGTAGTCATAGATCTAGTGTATCTAATGGTGTCTTTATTAGCATCAGTCAGGCTCATCCTATTTGATAATTTTCGCTTGATGATCTAGACCGGGGAAAATCAGAAAAGTGAGATTTCTAGCCAATAATTTAATGTTGCTAATGACTATTTTGATACCATACAGACCTATGCATCTGTGTTGTATTTCTGCACATTTCTTTTGGCTTTCAATCTGCTTCCTTTACAGAATTATAGTTTAGCTCTGAGATTATGTATATATAAGTAATTAACAAAGAAGTCATTTTCCACTCTCGTTTTGTACAGTGTCTATATCTGAGGTAAGTGAAGGAATATTTTAATTTTGCCTTGCTCGAGGAATAACTTTGTTAAATAAAAGTCATTTTTACAAAGCATTTATTTCCTTCACTGTATCACAACACAGCTGAACAAAGAAAAAGCAGTAATCATTTTGAAGGCTGAGTTTGCACTAGCATTTTAAGATTTTTTGTGCATCATTACACTGGCTTCTGCTCAAAAGTTGCCTCATCTCCTGCCAGCTCAGTAAATGGCAATGTTAGTTCCTGACTGTCTGAAACTAGTGGTGTAGGCATGACCTTAAAGGGCCTGTTTCCTATTCAATACTGAAGTTCCTATATAAAATGGTGGAGCCTCCTCTTCCACTGCATTGATGCCCACACACTTGAGCTTGCAGAATTTTTCCTCCCCCTTGGATGCAGAGATTTCATTTTGTTTCATAACAGGTAATAGCCAATGATTAAAAATTACTCAACACATATAATTTATGCTTACTTTCAGATAATGGACAGTATTGATGCAGTATCAAATGGACATTTTTCTGTTTCCCATCATTTACTTCAACTGGTTTAGGTACTGTAAATGCTGATGCAGGAGTGACTAACTTATTGACAAGATTGTCCTGAAATTTTTTACATGGCCATTCTGAATATTGTCTGGAAAGGCTTCTTAACTCCTGTGTCATTCCTGTTTCATCAGTGGATTTCAAACATGCCAAAGAAAGCTCAGTGTGGAAAACACCTTATTCATGGGTATAATTTGGATCTTCAGGAATAGGCTAAACAAATCTTTTTCTGTGATGTTTCCAAAAACATTGTCCTAAGGCTTCAAGAATCAATTGTCTATTTTAGAGTATTTCTTGTAGAGCCTCCATAAAACTAATAGTGATGCTGATGAATCAGGGTCATATTTGGACGGCTGAACATTAAGGGGAAACCAAGGAACTTGTGGAGTTGATCGGAGTTTGTGTTTGGTTTGTTAGTTAAAGGAAAGGACAGAGATGTGTACACTTCTCATTGCAGACATTACCTAAGCAGTTCGCTTGTCATGGTGATGCAGTAGCTAAAAATATCCTCACCAAGCTCTATTGCATGCAGAGCAAAAGGTCAAGCTTGTTTTATACTATCTGAAGCAGGTTTGTAGATTATGATTATTACATATCTGTGGGAAGCACTTCATTATAGCATTTCATTATAAAGGTATATTGTAATGTTGTGAAAGATTAAAATCATCTGTAGGTGCTGGTGACAGTAAGTATTTAGCAACACCAAAAAAAGATTGATCTTTTTTCTTTTGAAGTCGTTTATTGTAGAGTATAAATTTTAAATTTTTTCTATCATCTTTCTGAACAGTCATCTCCTGTGATGAGTGTGATCAGAATATCTTTCACAGTAATTGTAACTGTTTTAATATGTCAGAGATTCAAAGTTGTTTATATCACCTTCAATTCCTTGCATTTCAAAGTTAAAACTAGGCATTTTTGTGATGCTTTCCATTGTCCAGCATGAATAATGTGATAAACAAAGAAGGTGCTATTGAATAAAAACTTCTACTGTCTTTCTAATGGTATTTTTAAACAGTTCAACATCAAAAACTAGCAAAAAGGAAGAAAAGTAGAAGTTAGTTAATAAACATATCCAGAAATAAAACTATCAACAAAATGCTATAAATTTCTTTTTTTTTTTTACTGGACTTAGTAGCAAGTCTGTATCAGTAGATAAAGATCACCATCAGATGGATAGTTATTTTCATTCATTCTCTTTCATCAATTTAAAATATTTTGTCTTTTCACAAAGTTCAGAGGGTTTGCACTTCTGAGTTTAAAAGCAAGTTCCCCTCTACACTATGATGGTATGAAGCCCTTTGGTGAAAGGAGATTTGTTTTTTCTAAGTGAACGCTGAAGGATGTTTAAACACTGAAGTTCTTGTACTGCTACCAAATTAGGTCATCAGCTGGAACTACACATCAATCTTTCTACATAAATTTTCTGAAAGATAGCTGATTACCATGATAAATATCCAGGCTCTATTTCTATGACAATAATTTTAAAAATTCCATTATTTAAACCTCCAGTTCTTTTATCATGACCAGAGATTACATATTTAAAGAGTGATTGTGAAGTTCTGGCTCCCAGGAATTCAGCAAGAATTGTTGGCTGCTTGCAGCTCAGAATATTGTTCTTCCTCACATTTTTTGCAATTGTGTCTGAGTAATAAAATGTAAACAGCTTTCTGTGGGCCTGAAAGTGTTCTGAGAAATGTATTTCAAAAGCATATTTCACAATCTTTTTTCCTAAAGTAAGTATCAGCACTTGTTCTGTTTGTTGTGTATGAAGGAGGTGGGAGCTACTGGCTGAGACCTTGGAGAGGGGCTACATTTCACAATACTGTAATGTTGCTAAAAATAATGTATTTCTATATTCTTCTTGAAATAAGTTTTTTCTCATTTGATTCATCAGAACTAATAGCAACTCCAGTTTTCCCTACTGAAAACCTTGTGAAAAATACATACTGTGAGGTGTATCAGCAAAGTGACTATCACAAAGATATAAACCAGACTATTCTGTCATGAGGGTTGATGGAAGTAGAAAACATGAAGGTAAGTATAATGTGTTACTACTTGTTATATATTCCTTCTGTTACTACTTTTACGTGATAGAGAAAATCGAGTCTTTCTGAAATGCTGTATCTGTGGCATTTCAGTGTAACCAGACTAGAGTTCATTACTCGTTCACTGAATGGTCATTGGAATAGATGACCTTTAAAGGTCCCTGCCAATTCAAACAATTCTATGATGCTATGCTTCTAACTTTACAGCTGGATGGTATTTTGATTTAAAAAATCCCAGTTGAAACAGGATGAGTCTTACTAGTTTTCTCAGGGTCAAAGAGTCATACAAATGAGAACATTTTGCTTTAGTTTTGGATTATTGTTAGAATGGGTCCAAATCTGTCCTGGAGTGTCAGCATCCAAGAATTTCAGCAGGTGCTTTGGCTAAAGACAATAAACACACTTTTGGTCTGTCTGAAACACTAACATTGACATTGGAAAGCATGATTATTTCAGAAACCAATCTGTAATGCAATTTTCCTCTCTTGTGTCTTTATGGTTTTTTGTGTATTAGTCACGATTCACACTCTAGGGCAAAAGAAGC